GCATAGGGAAATATTACCACGGTCACATTAGTGAAAAGAAGCCTGAAATGGTACCTTAGCCCAAGATTTATCTCTACCTTCATCAACTTATGGGGGAAGGAACAATGCAATGCATTGCCCTTCCTTTTGCAAAATATAAACAATAATCGACTTTTCCATAGGATTGCTACAAGAAAATCCTTCATTATGAGAAGGCACTTTTAAAATCATAAGGCATGCTCCTATCATTTTATTATCTCCTTTACTTATTCATTTGAATGAGTTACACTTGTCTACTTTTTTTTCTTGACTCCTCTTTAAAAGTGCTTTGTTTGATGGGTGGTGTGGCACCTTTAAACACCTTTAATCCCAGTACTCAGAAGGCAGAGGCAAGTGGATCTCTGTGAGTTTGAGGCCAGTCTGGTCTACAGAGTGAGTTCCAGGACAGCCAGGGCTACACAGAGAAACCTTATATTGAAAAACAAACAAAAATTGCTTTGTTTAATTGATAGTTATAGCTGTAGTCTGTAACAACCAAACAAGATGTCCTCTTGATAGTTTGGTTAGGTTATATGACTTACAGCAATGACCTTAGCCCAAAGCCTCAATCTTGGCTGAAACTTAGGAAACAGCATTGGATCAACTGTTCAATCCAATTGGATCAAGTATTCATTCCATTTTGGCCAGCATGTGAGCCCTTAGCAGTTAGATCTTGCATTTGTGTCTTGAGTCTATGAATCCACAATGAACTAAAGTTCATTCTTCTCACTAATTTTCAAATGATCTTAAGATAGTAAAAAACTGGAGACAGAAAGTATTTCCATTATTTATAAAGCTTAAAATATGATAAAACAGAGAATTATTGAGAATTGCTTGGACAGATTATGAGGCTTAGCATATACTCAAATGAAACTGGGTTGCTAAATGTTCTGTTTCATATTGATTGCTGAGACCATAAGGGAAAAGACACATATCTAGGGAACTATTTGACTTTATGTGTGTGCACGTATGTGTGATTTGAATGTGCATGGAGTGTGCATGCATGTGTGTGCATGTGAATGCATGTATGTGCTTGTGTTTGTATACATGTATGTGCATGTGTTTGTGTGTTCATGTGTGTGCATGCACTTATGTGAGTGTGTGTGTGTGCGTGCGTGTGTGTGTGTGCATGTATGCGTGTCCACACATGCCTTGGCTCATGAGTAAGTACAGAAGAGAGGCTATATAAAACCAAGATAGAAATAAAGTCTGTCTTAGGAACTTTGTGGCTGAATAAACACAAAGGAACTCTAGAATAATGAGATATTTAGAGACAACGCACAAGCATAAAGCAGAAATATCAGGAATCCAGCTAAAGGAGACATGCTGAACCTACAAGGGAGAGATTATTTCCTTAACAGAATCTGATGAGTTTCTGAATCTAGGCTTATTTATTTGTTTATTATTTTATTTGTCTGTGTGAGGGATCACAGGCATTGGATGCCCTGGAGCTGGGATTTCAGGTGGTAGTGAGCAGCCATGCATGGCTTCTGGGAGATGAACTCTAGGTTTCTGCAAGAGCAGAAAGTGCTCTTAGCTGCTGAGCCATCTCTCCACTCCTGAGTCTAGGATTAAAAGGCATCAAGGAAAGCAACTTTAAGTGGAATTGAAAACTGCAAGTGGAATTTGGAGCCCAGGCAAAAAAGACCCTTCTTGGTTTATAACATCACCCAGGCCACTAGACGAGCTATGCATATACTTAATAGTTTTAAAAAATTATACACTTTCAACATAGTCATAATATTTATGTATAAATGAGGAAATCATGGACATTCTTTATATGCTTTCTTTTATGTAGCCCTAGATCTTCCCAATCCCAAGGGTTGAACTAACTTTTAATTAGATTAAATGTAGATATATTTCAATGTGGATTTCTTGTACTGTTTACTCTAGTGGTATGGGAGGGTGGAATATGACTTCTTCTGCCACCAAAGTTATGCCAGTTTATGAGTGTGTGCCAATGGCTGACACTGTGACACATTCAGGCTCTAAATGACATTGAACTTTTTCTTTTAAGCCATTGACTATGGCTTATCTGATTGATAGCTGATCTGATTGACAGCTGTTGTAACCCTGTTCTCTCTCTCTCTCTCTCTCTCTCTCTCTCTCTCTCTCTCTCTCTCTATCTCTCTCTCTCTCTCCTCTTCTATTTCTCTCACTATACTTTCTCTGTTCCCTATCCCCAGCTATTCTCTCCTCCCTTGCAGTCATCACTGGCCAAGTCCATTCTGCTGGCCATGTTCAGGCTGCTTCTTCCTCTGTCTGCTCTGGACTCTTCCAGAAGCCTCTGGCTGTTCTCTCTCTCTTATTTACAATAAAAATCCTCCTCTCACCCATACCATGGAGCAGTCTTGTCATCTGTTTATACACCATTTCACTCAGCTAAGACAAAGCTGGACTTTGTTGGGAAAGAATTTTCAGTGGGAAACAAAAAAAAAAAGAACAAAACAAAAACAGGCGTTCAGAAACGGTCATGCTTTAAAGACCAGTCGCCTAACTCCATCCTGAAACCCGATCTTGGTGCACACAGCACCCACACAAGGTCTGTGCTATTGATGGGAGCCTTTAGGAGACGCAAGGAGCTTGGCAACTCTTGACTGTTCTGTTACTGTGTGTTTTGCCCTCTTAGGAATTTATGTTTTCCTAAAAGAAAACATAATTAAAGAGCCCAGTCTCTGATATTAATGAACAATTGGGTGGCCATGACAATGACTAACTCTATGCTAAGGGCTTCAAGGAATCTGGCAAGGAATCCACTGGAAAAGAAGAATTTTTAATTGAGTAAGTCCCAGCAAAACATATTTTCATTCTACACTTGTTTAATAGTAACATTTGACTCGTATATTGAAACGTTGGACCAATTGATTTTACAAATGTGTATTCAATTTCTCCTAACTAAATTCCTAATAAAGAATGACCTAACAGGAGTAGTGTTCATGGGGCTTAGTGTTCAGGACCTTGACTGATTCTTGGAAAAGCTGCTCAAATGTGAGGCCATTATCTTTTTTCTCTTGTCCTCTTTCTATCTGATTTCTGGTCTCTAGAGAGCCTCTCTGGTTATGAAGGCATTCTCTACCCTCCATGTATATAATGTATGCCTTCAAGTCCTACCTGATAGCTTGTGCTCTTTTCCTAGCTTTTCTTCAGAAGATGTCTAGGATCCAGGATTCCTAGGAAGTTAAGTTTGTTCCTCTGAATCAATTCTCGCCTTTGTGGAGTTTGTGGAATATGTGCTTCCCACCTGGCATTAAATTTATCTTGACACATTTACTTCAAATGACTCTTTGGGCCTAGTCTCATCAGACATCGTGGAGATGAAGGAAAGACTCCACTTCCCAGAGATCTTTGGGAGCCTATTAACCTCCTCCTCTGGTGAGAATAAGGGGTCTGCTCACTGATTTCAGAATTTATCTCTTCTTTAAAGTTGTTACAGGATATAGAACAGTTGTGTCCCAACCTAACTAACCCTTAGGGAGAGAATAACACAGTAGAATCCAGTGAGCAACCAAGTATTTTTTACTTCAATTTATATCTCTTGTCACAGATTTCTATCTAAATCCCTACAGAATTCGGACATGGCCCTTCTCTTTCTGCAGGAAGACTGTGCTCCTTCACCCCACCTGCCATCTCCATGACAACCTTCCCCTCTTCATGTATTTTCTCTAGCCTAAGAACCCCATGCATCATACTCACTGGTGAGGTGTTGTCAAATGGAGATGGCCTTGGACACAAGACTGGGGTGTACCTTAGTCTTTCAGACTGGGAACTGCCCAACAACCACCCTGAGTTCAATTTTGAATCACCTTGGGTCTAAATTGCTGTGGTAGCATTTATTATATCCAGAGGTAGGCGCCCAACATAATAGCCTTCTTGCCTTTGTGAAATGTCACAGTCCTGAATCATACCTGCTAACACTTGTCTTCCTGGAGGCAGATCTCATTGTGGTTAATTTCATTGTTTAGAGGCTCTCATGTAAGACTGCCCATGGGCTGTCACTTGCCAGTGTAACTGTGTGCCAGTACAACATGCAAGGCTTTGTGAGCAGATGAGGGTCATTTATCCCCACCCATTAGGAAACAGGCCTCATGAATCCCACACACATTTTAAAGGAAACAGCAAAAGAGGTATTCCCACACACAGAATTTAATTTGATTATTAAAGGGCTGAGGCTTCTCCTGCCAGAAAAATCAATTTTCTAGTGGGTCCTTAGCCTAGGACAGAGCAGATTCACCCCCCCCCCATGGAATCCTGAAGGCAACAAAGAGGAAACACCTATTGATGCCCATCCAGACTTACTTTTGGGGTGTTTGTCAACCTGAGAGAATGTACCTGGACATCACTAATGACAGCAATCTAATGGCAGTTTCTAAACAATCTAGAGCACAAGACTTTAATAAAGCAGAGAGTGAACTCTCGATTTGAAATTTGCTTTGTGTGTGTGCCTGTGTGTGTGTCAGTGGGTGAGGGGTGGGAAGGGTTTTGTGGGGTGGGGGAGACTGCCTCAGGAACTTATTTCTCTCTCTCTCTCTCTCTCTCTCTCTCTCTCTCTCTCTCTTGATTCTGAGAACTCTGAAAGCAAAGCATGGCAAGGCCTTTCATTACACTTAGCATTTCTAAGCACGCCTGACTAGAGGACACTCATGTAAATATGCATGTCTATGTATCTCTAGGAATAAAGGCTTAGGCTGAAGAAATAAGATCTTTTGAGGCAGAGGCAGAGACAGTGGCAGCATATAACCAGTGTGTGGGTCTTGGTGAAGAAACAGTACTGCCACTAGTGCTAGCCGTGTATTACTGACACTCTAGCTCATAGTCATCACCCATCACCCCCAGGATCTGTGACCAGCACTCACTCATGTTGCACTTGGGGTAGAAGGAAGGCTGCCAACTGCAGAGGGCCAGGCAGGCAATGGTGTCTGGTGGGGCGCCCAGCAGGGATCTGGAGGGGAGGGGAGGCAGACTAGCAGGGCGGGGCTCCCGCCACCCCACCAGTGCTGCTCTGTTGCTCGGGTCCTCTGAAGCCGCCAGCTGCCAACTGAAACCCGAAACCCGGCTGCGTCTGCGGGCTGGCCCTGCTCAGTTGTTCCAGCCTCTTGTACTGTATATTTACACATTCACACACAATCACTCTTTCTAACTTCTGGAGTCCTTGCGCAACTGCTAGGATTTCTCAAGTGCATGTGGCAACTCAGCCCGGGTGAAAGAAAGCCAGTGGGATTCCGGAGATCGCAGGCCCGCGGGACCGCCAGGCTGCAGAGGGGGCTGCGGAGGGGACAGAACCAGAGCGATACAGACGGCTGGGGCTTCCCCCCAACTTTCCGCGCAGCTGCGGCTGACTCTGTGGCCACAGGGCTTCCTCCTCCAGAGCAGCTCGCAGGCCGGGCGAATGGGGCTCCTCTGCACTTGCCCTGGCTGTGGGAAGTAAAGGGCACCCGCCCGCCTGAACTCATCTTTTGGCCAGTCCTAGGACCTTGGGAAGTCGGATCAGTCGCGGTCCGCATAGGTCCCTCGTCCTCAGCAGGGTAGGTGATGTGACTGCTGAGGGGAGGTGGAGGGACCACTGGGAGAGTGGGTGGCAGCTTCAGGCTACAGGATGGGGAGGGGGCTGCGGCGAGCCAGAGGCAGTGCTAGGACCTAAGCAGGTTCAATGCCTGTGTTTGTGATCCTGTGTGCTTGAGCTGTGTGTGTGTGTGTGTGTGTGTGTGTGTGTGTGTGTGTGTGTGTGTGTGTGTGTG